TTGTGAGTTCGAGCCCCACATCAAGCTGTCTGCTGTCAGCACAGAGCCCACTTCTGATCCTTAGTACCCCTCCTGCTCTCTCTCTGCCCCTTCCCTCTCTCTCTCTCTCTCTCTCTCTCAAAAAAAAATAAAAATAAAAAAAGAAATCATCTGACTCTTGATCTCAGCTCAGGTCTTGATCCCAGGGTTGTGAGTTCAAGCCCTGCATTGGGCTCTGCACGGGGCATGAAGCCTACTTTAAAAAACAAAACAAAACAACAGATACAACACAGGAACAGCCAAATGGAAGAGGTACACAGAGTAAGGTCTTGGGGGAGGAAGAACTTCCATGCCCTCTCCTGATGTACCACCCTCCCAGCTCATCAGGTGTGTTTACCAACGCAGAAGTTCCTTGAGCCTCACTGATTCAGGGTTTTTATGTGGGGTTTCATTCTGTATGCACGATTCATTACATCATTGGCCAAGTGACTGAACCCAATGTTTGGTCTCTTTCTCCTCCCTCAGGAGTTAGTATTGAAAGTTCTGACCCTCTAAAGACATAGTCAAAGGGGCTTATTATGAATAATAATTACAAACAAAGGACGAGTCCTATCTCTCAGGGAATTCCAAGGGTTTTAGGAGCTCTGTGCCAGGAACCAAGGACAAACACCAAGTACATTTTATTGTATCATATATTCCCATTACGAATACATGTATCACATGAGCAGACACCTGGGCCTGCCGTGTAATGCAGCTTTGAGTTCCAAATGAACTCGGGAGCTACCGTGACCGTGACTTCCCAGCGAGAGGCCCATGCCTGGGAGCAAATTCGCTTCTGCCTTTGCCAGCTCGATGGCTCTGGGCAACTCACATCACCTCCAACGTGGCTTCCTCATTTGTAAAATACAGAGAGTAACTCCTGTCCTGAAGGATTGTTTGATGAGATGGTGGGCATCTAGGCCCCTGGCACACAGGAGTACAAAACAAGAAGCTACTTCCTTCCCCTTCTGTCTAAACTCCCTGGCCCTCCTGCCCTGGACTCTGACCCCTGTGGGGTGGGACTGTATCTTCCCTGTGAGACACTCAGCTGGGGCCCCTGTCTCCCATACACATGCATGCATACCCCCAGGGACACACAACCATCTGAGCCCTGGGTTCCAGGCCTGGTTTTAACTAGGTTTTGACTAACTGGTTTTGACTGATTTAGACTAACTGTGATGTCAGACAAGTCCCCAGTCTCTGCCCTTCTCTGGGCCTCAGTTTTACTCCACAAAACACATTTGTACAAAGAGGGGCTGGGAGCTAAGGTTCACTGGGTGCCTTCCTATTTTTTTTTAATTTTTAAATAGGCTCCATGCCCAATGTGGGGCTTGAATTCACAACTTGGAGATCAAGAATCACACGCTCTGCTGACTGAGCCAGCCAGGTGCCCAAGGTGCCTTCCATGCTGACCAAGTCGATCAGCACCAGGGTGTGAAGCAGAGAGAAGCAGGAAATAAGGGTCTAAATAACTTAAAACTTTATTACGGGTGAAAGGTACCGGCTTGAGGACCCAAGCCTAGAGACCGCTTCCCAAAGTGAAGGTTAAATAAGGAAAGGGAGGGATGCTAAAGCCTTGGCTGGGGCCAGGGCAGGGCTGGGGCCAGGGCAGGGCTGGGACTCAAGGCCAGTACCCTGTTGGACTCTGTCCACTGAGCCTCAGACAAGACTGGGAAAAATACAGAGGGGGCCCAGGACTGTATCACCCCACCCAGGGAGGAGCAGGGAGAGGCCTGGCTCGGGTACACCTCACCACCGGGACAGGAATATAGGCACTGTAGTAAAGTGCTCCCGAATCCACCAAGATCAAGAAAGAGGGCTCTGCCCGGGGGACATCCTGTGTCCCAGAGAAGGGCCCCCCCCCCCACTCCATACGCCCAACTTGGGAATGGCTGAAACCCGGACAAAGGCAGAGCCTGGCAGAGCCCGCGGGAACCAGGTGGGGCAGGGCCGAGCAGGTGGTGTCAGGGCCTGAGCTTCTTCCATTTCTGCAGCTTCTCATCCATGGCCTGGAGTGTGGACTCATCCTGCACCAACACAGATCGGTCCAGCCCCTCTCCCCACACCACGAGTGGGCCGCGGGGAGCTTGAGGGGGCCCTCTTTCCCCTCAAAAACCCCGTCCTTTACCTTCACGAAACAGAAGCGGATATAGTGGTCAAAGATCTTCCGATGAGGCACGCTGTAGAAGGTGGAGACGGGGATGGCCACCAAGCCCTGGGGAGGAGGAAGCCCATGTCTCAACACAGCCCCATAGCAGGGTAATCCATGGCTCTGGGGACAGAGAGCTTCTCTCGATGGGGTGGGGGAAAGAAGGAACATTCAGTGGAGCACCTTCCGGTGCTGGGTCAAGGTCAGAGGCAAAGAATCCCAGAGCATGGTTCTCGGTCCCTCCCGGTAGTACACAGGGAGGGGAAATGGAGAGGGGAGCACCACGTGGCAGGTTAGGGCAGAGCAAGAGAGGAAATAAAACTTAGGGTCAGAGCTCGGAGCTGGCTGAGCTCGTAGTTAACGAGCCAACTCTGCACCCACTGCACAGATGGGAAGGCTGAGGCCGAGAGAGGGCAGGGATTCCTGGCAGCCCGCACAGTGTCTTTTTGCAAATTCCAGACTCCCCATTCCTTGACATAGACACACTCCTGTACCAGGGCTGAGGGCAGAGGCTGGGCTGGATTTGGGCCCAGCCTGTAAAACCACACACAGGTGCCCTGGCAGAGCCTGGCCCACCTTGTTCTTTTTTTCTTTTAAGATGTTATTTTATTTTATTTATGTTTACTTATTTTTGAGAATGAGAGAGATAGAGCACAAGCAGGGGAGGGGCAGAGAGAGAGGGAGACACAGAATCCGAAGCGGGCTCCAGGCTCCGAGCCGTCAGCACAGAGCCCGACGCTGGGATTGAACCCACAGACCGTGAGATCTCGAACTGAGCCGAAGTCAGAAGCTTAACCGACTGAGCCACCCAGGCGTCCCAGACCCACCTTGGTTTTGATCATCCACTTGATGAAGCGTCTGTCGTAGGGCTCATCCACGTCACCGGGCAAGTCGGGCATCTTGCTCTCTGGGGGACAGAAGCCACGCTGAGCCCTGGGCGGCCTCCAGCGCCACCTCCCCGCCGCCCCCCCCCCCCCCCACCGCCCAGCCTGGCCAGTCCGGCTCACTGAAGTCTGAGATGTCTGCCATGAAGAAGTAGCTGCCCTGGGGGACCACGGGCTTCAAGCCCACAGACTGCAGGCTGCGTATCATGTGGTCACGGGTGCGCTGCATGGCCTGCGGGAACTGCGCAAAGTAGCTGCTGGGTTGGCCAAAGTGAAGCTGCTCGTGCTCGAAGCTCTGGGCCACTGCCGCCTGGGGAGGGTGGACGGACAAACAGGTTGGGGCCGATCCCACCCCGGGGCCTCCTGGGGCCTGTCGTTGCTCCTCCCTCCCGCGGCGGGGGTCCCCTGCCTCTCCTCACCTGACCCTGCGTGGGACAGTGGTAGATAGAGTTCTGGTGCACCGTGCGCAGGTGTTTCATGAGGCTGTCCGGGCCCAGGACCCAGCCCACCTGGCCCAGGAACACGAGGAGGCGGTGAGGCCCTTCGGGGCCTCGCCACACCCCTTCTCAGTCCCCAGGGAGGGCAGCCTCACCCGGCCTCCCAGGATCACGGCTGGGCGGCCCGGCCTCCCAGGATCACAGCGGGGCGGCGGTACCCCTACCCTCGTCGACTCACCTTCCAGCCAGTGGCGCTAAAGGTCTTGCCAGCGCTGCCAATGGTCAGGGTGCGTTCCCACATACCAGGAAGACTGGCTGCTCAAGGTCAAAGAGAGCGGCTGCTGAGCCCGGGGGGAGGGGCAGGGGAGGGGCGGCGGCTGGGCCCCGGTGGGCACTCGGGCTCGCAACACTCTGGACTCCACGTGCTAATAAGCTATTTACCGAACTTATCTCAGCGCATGTCTCATGGCAGCCCTGGAGGCGGCACCACTGTGCCACCCCATTTTCAGAGAGGTGAGGCCACTGCCCCAGATTACCCGACCGGTGGGGCTCCAGACCCACGGGTCCTAACTGGCCGGGCTGGCACTGACTTCCGGGTTGGGCTCCGGGGCCCGGCCACAAAAGTCCAGGGGGAAACGCGGGCACCCAGGTCGGCTTGGCTCACCGATGCTGACATGCTGGTACCCGTCGTAGACCAGCCACTGGTAGACCTCGTCGGCGATGCAGATCACGTCATGCTGCTGGCACAGGCTGGCCACCAGCTCCAATTCCGCCTTGGAGAACACCTGTGGGGACCGACCCCGAGCCGAGAGGTCTGCTCAGAGGGATGAGGAGGTACTGCCAACCCACGGCCAAGGGCCCTTCCACCCCATCTCATTGAATCCTGGCAACTCTCACCCCAGGAGGTCTGTTGCCAGATGACAGAAAATATACATACTGGTCTCTGCACCAGGTTCCTGGCTCAGCTCTCCTAAAACCCTCGTAAATCTCTCAGTAACAAGAGCGCCAGGAGCCTGTCTTGTCCTAATATTTGATCTCGGACCCCCATCCGTCCCCGACACAGGGCTCCTGAAACCCTCCCCAATTCCCAAGTGATAAGAGCACTGGAGGTGTTTTTTGTTCTAATGAGGTGACACCCTGGGTAGGCATCGGGGGGGGGGGGGGCTCTGGGATGGGGCCGGTCACCAGAAAGATCCATGATTAGAAGCTTGGAATTTTCAGCCCCACCCGCATCCTGAAGGGTGAGCAGCCTTGTGGGACCTGATGCTCCAGCTGGTGTTGCAGAATTGCTGGGTGTGGGACTCCCCTCTCCCCCAGTCCAGGGTCAGAGTGTGGTAAGCACAGTGGTTGTGTGAGAGGAGAGACACCCAGTTGGAAGATTGGTTTCCTCTACATCGGTTCTGTCACGTTCCCATTTTACACGTGAGAAGACACTCCGAAAGGCGAGTTCACGTTCCCAGGGTCTCAGGGAGGTCATGGAGACACCCACCCAGCCTGCCCCACTTCCCTGGGGATTCCTGCCTCTGTCCCTGGGACCTCGGTCCTCAGCTTACGTTACAGGTTGACCTCCCATCTCACAGATGAAGAAACTGAGGCGCCCGACACAGCAAAGACATGAACCCAGTCTGGAGGGGCCCCCGGAAGGAGTTCTCTCAGGTACCTTTCCCACAGGGTTGTTGGGTGTGTTGAGAATTAGGGCTTTGGTATGAGAGGTAAACTTGCTGGCCAGCTCTGTGGGGTCCAGCTGCCAGTTGCTGCTGGAATCCAGTTCCCCATCCCGAGTGGGGCCCTGTAAGAGGAGGTGGGGTGTGGTGGCAATAATTACCAACATGACATTCAGCTCCAGGGATCTGACCCTCCTTCCCACAGTCCTTTTTTCCTCGGGGACTCTGGATACGCCTCCTCCATCCTGGAGAAACTGGCCTCCTTTTCTTCCTTCTCTCCCACCTCCCAGGAGCCAACACAGCACACCCCTGGGACCCCTCCGCCTACCACACCCCAACCAGCGTCCTCACCGGCTTCAAGGTCACAAACACAGGATGACCCCCCGCCATCAACGTCATGGGTTCATAACAGTCAAAAAAGGGCTCAATGATGATGACCTAGCAAAAGGATCTGATTAGCTGGGGTCAGTATGGCCCCCGACCCTCATCCCCACCGGGCCCGAGCCTCGATCACTCACCTCGTCTCCTTCTTCCACCAGGGCCTGGAAGGCTGTGAACAGGGCCCCATAGGCACCCACAGTCACCAGCACGTTCTTGAGTGGGTCTATCTCCCGTCCCAGCAGCTTCCCAAAGAAACTTGCCAGGATCTTTGTCAGGGGTGGGTAACCCTGCCAGGACAGCAGTGGTCAGCCCCCTGGCTCGGCCTGGGCCCACCCTCCCGCTCAGCTGCATCCAGGCGGTTCTAGCACTTTCTAGCAATAGTCCTGAGGCAATGTTGGCTCAAGTTGGGTGAGTTCTTTTATCTCCCCTACCAGTGCTTGTCATAAAGCCTGTTCTGTGCGGTCCCAATGCCCAGGGCTGGCATTTGGTGGAGACCCGGAGACCCAGACAGAGCGCGTGCCTTCGCGGAGCACAGTCCAACAGAGCCCCACAGTAGCGGCAACTCCACAATTTCAGTTTAAGAAGGACATTCGTGCCATCTGATCATCCCAGCAGCTTTGCAAGACATGATTCCCACCATTCGACTGGTAGAAAAACAGAGACTCAGAGACAGGAAATGACTTGCTCAAGGTCATGCACAGTTGAGGTGCAGGAATAGGCCTTTACATCACAGCTTTGGAAGCACCCTGCTTTGAGAGGAAGGTTGGATCCGTACGCTTGTTTGCTGAGGACACTTATAAAACACTTGAGGCTAAGCCAAGTGACTGAAACCTGCGGTCTAGAACTTAACTAAATAATCCACTAAATCAGATTTGACCACAGAAAATTTTCTGTACAGGAAAATATACCATGAGCAAAGTTAAAAGACAAACATTGCAAGTTAAGAGAAGGAGGTAAGATGTTTAATATATAAAGAGCTCTTACAAAACAACAAGACAAAGATATATACCTAAATGAAAAAAATGAAGTAGGTCATGAAAGAAAAAGTGTTGATGCCCAATACACACATAATTGAGGAAAAGCAAATAAAAGCAACATTGAAAGATTGCTCTAATATTATAAGAATATAATATCAGTATTAAAAAGATTGGCAAGAGTATAGGACAAATGGGTGGTCTCTCTACAGAACGAACTTTCCTGCCAGGTCTGCGACCAGTCTGTTGGTGGGGATGTGAGTAAGCCTTTTTGGAAGGCAATCTGACAGTGTCTACCACATGTTTACACGCTTAGACCCTTTGATTCTCTAGTTTTACTGCCAGGGATCTAAGAGAAACACGCACACGGGTGTACAAAGATATACGTGCAGAAATATTCACTGTGCCATTGCTTATAATAGTGAGATATCCAAGCCAGCCCATCAGTGCAGGGCTTGTTAAATAAATTATAGCACAGCTAAGCAATGGAATACCACGTGGCCATTAAAAAGAATGAGGGGGGCGCCTGGGTGGTGCAGTCGGTTAAGCGTCCGACTTCAGCCAGGTTACGATCTCGCGGTCCGGGAGTTCGAGCCCCGCGTCAGGCTCTGGGCTGATGGCTCAGAGCCTGGAGCCTGTTTCCGATTCTGTGTCTCCCTCTCTCTCTGCCCCTCCCCCGTTCATGTTCTGTCTCTCTCTCTGCCCCCAAAATAAATAAATGTTGAAAAAAAATTTTTTTAATAAAAAAAATAATAAAAATAAAAAGAATGAGGCTATGCTGGCTATTCTGACGTGGCAAGTTGCCCATGACACGATGTTTAGTGAAATAAACAGGTTACAGAATATTACAGTATATGAGTCCATTTGGATTTAAAAAGTGCAAATCTCACATGTTAGGGGTGTGTGTGTGTGTGTGTGTGTGTGTGGGTGTGTGTGTTTATATAAGCACTTTAAAAAGTTAAAAAGTTTAAAAGTCTAAACACTCTTCAGCAAAGTAGCAAACTGTTGGGCGTGGTTATCTCTGAATGGTGGAGCCAGAGGGACCTTTACTCCAAGAACTGGTGGATATTTTACTCTGTGACCTTGACCAGAAGAGTTTGGATTTAGAGTCAAATCAGCCAGCAGCTTGCCTTTCAGGATGCAGCTTAGGTGTTACCTCCTCCAGGAAGGCTTCCCTGATCTCCCCTGATTTCCTTGCCTTCTTTCTGCTCCCACAGTATCCCATCCTCCTCTATCACAGCATATCAACTGCCTGTTTTCTGCTTTTGTTTGTTTGTTTTAATCTGCTTTTCCCACTAGGCCATGAGGTCCCGGCTCATAGTTTTTTGTCTGCCTTTCCCTAGATCGTGAGCTGTCCCAGGGCCTGGAACAGAGGAGACACTCCGTGAACACTGAACTGTGGCCACATTCAATTCCCTGGGCTCTGCCCCTTCCTCCCGGGGGCTTCCTTGAGACCTGTGTCCCGGGGCTCTGGACGGGGCTGGGAGACTCACAAATGCCCTGGTGTACTGGTTCAGCATGAAGTCGCTGCTGAGGGCGTGCTGAAATGCTTCCACAGCGAAATCTGGGGGTGGGAAGTCGGGGAAGCCTTGGCCCAAGTTCACAGCATCGCATTCACTGGCCATTTTCACAAACTCCACCCTGAGCAACAAATGGAGAGTCAGCACCTGCCCGCCTGGACCTGCTTCCAGGACAGGATGATGCACTGGGCTCATTCCAGAACAACCGGAGAGCTGGCACCTGCCCCAGCCCGAGACCTGCGTGAGGGTCCAAACCCACAGGTCCCTGATCTGAGGTCGGGTGGGCCAAGCACTGTACCAATCCCACATCTTAGCCCCCCGGGATTTCCAACTTTCCGACCAGGATCCATGGTAAGAAATGCTCACGTCACAAACCCCACGGAGCACAAACATGGAATCCGTGTTCTCCTTCCGGTGTGGTCAATCACAGGACTTCCCAGCCTATCCTGCCCTGCCTCATCCCACTTTATTCTTTGGAAATATTTGTGGAGACTCCGCAGGTGGATTTCACACACCATTAGTGCATCTGTCGGCACCACAGCTGGACCACCAGGCCTCCCATCAGCCACTTCTGGCCTCCGACCACATTTTTTCTGGCCCTACCTGGTGGCCACCTCTTCAGGGAAATGGGAGAGGCTGAGAGGCTGGATGAGGAGGCCGGTGTGTGGTCTGCAGGTTGGTTGGGAGCAGAGGAGTCAGGCTTGGCCGAGTTGAATTTGCATAACAATAAATAACTGTTCCATCGAAAATCTGTCCTTTTCTTCCCAGAGCCCCACAATGCCTCTGAAGATACACAGAGCCGCTGAGGCTCAGAAAGGCTAGTGACCTGCCCAGAGTCACACAGCAGCTAATAGCAGAGCTGAGAGGCAAAATCAGCTGGTGGACATTCCATGGTGATTGGGTGATGGGGACAGGGGACAGCCAGGCTCAAATGCCCTACAGAGTCCAGCTGCCCTCTGGGTTGGGTCTCTCAGGTCCTGATCCCCAGGCCACCACCCTCGGGTCAGCAGGAACCTGGGACCCTTTTTTGTCCTGACTCTCTTGGTCTCATCCTCCTGGCCCCCCCCCCCCCCCCCCCCCCCCCCCCCCCGCCTGCCCCATACGTACCCCCCAGGCCCGCTCCTGCTCTGCCCTGCCTTTGCATGAGACTTGACCTCTCCTGGCCTCAGTGGGGGTGTTGGGTCCAAGAGTCTGCCGGTCTGTGAGCCAGGAAAGAGTACTGCGCCCTCTCTCATCCTGCCTCCTTGTCATTTCCTCCCTCCAAGTTGGACTCTACCCTACCTGCCAAAGCCTGCGAGGCTGTCCAGCCTCCCTCAGACAGAGGACTGAAGGCGGCAGCCTTCACGAGGGGAGTTTGAAAGAAAAAACGGTCCCATGCTTTATAAAACAACTACCAACATTTTTTTTTTTTTTTTTTTTTTTTAAGTACAGGCCAATGCCGCTGGCCAAAGGCAGGGAGGGATTAAGAAGATTCCCTACATTTTTCTTACACACCTTCCCACTGCAATCCGTTGTGTCACTAGTAACAGTGGGCACATGCTCCTTTCATATTTAGAACAAGTCAAGAAAAAAGAAATTAACGTCGGCAAATGCCCAGTAAAGAGCTGCCTGTATCTCACCTTCTCTTACTCCGTACTAAGTGTGAAATAAAATCCGTGGAAAGCCCTGAGCCAGGTGCCTGGGTAATGGCGGTAGCTTTCATAAGGCTACATAAGGCACATGAGTCATAAGGCACATGAGTCACTGCACCTGCACCCGCACCCCCACTCCCGCCACAGCCAAGTGGGGGTGAAGCTGAGATTCGAACCCAGGTCTGCTGCTTCAAGTCTCACCTTTCACGGGCCGTGGCTGCAAATCTCACAGTCCTGGCAAGGCAGGGGGCCCTCCTGGGTTCCGCGGAGTTCCTGCAAACCCAGGGACGTCCCGCCCCGCCCCCAAGCCCCCACGCCTGACGGGACACCCGCACACCTCCCCAGCCCCGCGGAGCTCACCATGGGTTGTGGTCAATCCCGTCCAGCCTGCGAGCTTGCACCCTCTTGGCCATGGTGAGCTGAAGACGGAGCCAGCAGAACAAAGTCAGAGTGGTGGATGTGCAGATCTTTTCTGCCCACAGTCCCCGCCCCTCTGGGGGGCAGATGCAGATCCTTACTCCCCAATAGCAGGATGGGCTCCAGCCAACCCTCGCACCTGGCTCCGCCCCATCCCAACAGCCTCACTGGCCCAACCTGCCCGTCTGGACTCCTCGTGCTCTGAAATGGACCAGATTCAGACCAGATTCAGGCCGACTGAGGAGGAGGGGCAAGAGGAAGGGGGAAGAGGGCAGGAGAAGCACAAAGGTAAAGGTGACAGCAGCAGGTTCCCTTACAGAGGTCTGGCTAAACTCAGAACAATCTTGCTGGGCTCGTTGTATAGATGAGAAAATCACATTAAAAAAAAAAAAAAGATATATATATATATATAGGATTCAGCTTAGGTGTTACCTCCTCCAGGAAGGCTTCCCTGATCTCCCCCACATTTCCTTGCCTTCTTTCTGCTCCCACAGTATCCCATCCTCCTCTATCACAGCATATCAACTGCCTGTTTTCTGCTTTTGTTTGTTCGTTTTGGTCTGCTTTTCCCACTAGATCATAAGGTCCCGGCTCATAGTTTTTTGTCTGTCTTTCCCCAGATCGTGAGCTGTCCCAGGGCCTGGAACAGAGGAGACACTCTGTGAACACTGAACTGTGGCCATATATATATATATATATATACATATATACATATTTGTAATGTGATTTTCTCATCTATAAAATATACCTAATATATACATATATATTTTTAAAATCTCTACACCCAGTGTGGGGCTCAGCCTCACAACCCCGAGATCAAGAGTCACATGCTCTACTGTCTGAACCAGCCAGGTGCCAGAGAAAATCACTTTTTATAATATTTATTAATGTATTATACTGACATCAATAAAACAGACTACAAAACAGCATGTGCGGTATGTAATTGTGTTTTGTAAAAGATGTCCCCTAATATATATTTGCACATACATACACTTTTCTGTGACCATGTACGAATAGATAAAAAAAGAGTTTGGGGGGCGCCTGGATGGCTCGGTCGGTTGAGTGTCCGACTTCGGCTCGGGGCATCATCTCACAGTTCGTGAGTTCGAGCCCCGCGTTGGGCTCTGTGCTGACAGCCTGGAGCCAGCTTCGGATTCTGTGTTTCCCTCTCTCTCTGCCCCTCCCCCACTCGTGTCTGTCTCTCTCTGTCAAAAATAAACATTAAAAAAACCTTTTTTTTAATTTCTTAAAAAAACAGAACAAAGATGAGTTGGGGTGGCGGTGGGGGACTTTAGGGAAGTTTGAGGTGGGGTATGGAGTGGGGGGTGGAGGGGCATAGAGAGACAGAGTACAGAAGAGGTGAATGGAGTTGAATGGGTTCAAGGAGATGAAAATAATGGGGGAACCGCGGAAACTTGGGAGGGCAAAGGCATGACCTGCAAGGATGCCAGACGGTAACTGCATAAGTGTGGAAACAGTGCCTGCTCTTGCTTGGACTTCTGCATAACGTATTCCTCGGCCAATGTCGATTGAGCACCTACCTCGTCCCGAACCCGAACCCGGGGCTGGGCTCCGGGGATGATGGGGAGGCAGCCGCACAATGCAGACTGTTCAGATGCAAAGCTCTGAGTTCTACATTAGAGGCAAGAGCAAGAGAGGGGGTCCCCAGCCAGGCTGCAGTCCAAGAAGGCTTACTGAAAGAGGAAGCTCATGCACAGCTCTGAAGCCAGGACCAGGCCAGATCCCAGGGGCCCCGGGTTAAGTGGCAAATCACCCGGGGCTGGAGCACTTACAGTCTGGTGCAAG